TTGCACATAAGCAACATCATCTGGTAGCTTCACCCGAGCTTGTGAAGAACCAAAAGCTGCTTCTCCTGGAGGTATAGATTACCTTCTAGTACATACAGTTTCTATTACTGCTGTCTGAAAGACCTGTAAACTGTTCTGATCTCAGAGCATCACTGTCACTCAACAATGCATGTATTGCTATCATATGGAAAGTACTGCTGGTCCTATATGCCGTTTTTTTCTACTAAAGCTACACTGGACATAAATGACTTGGATGTATGCTAACAAAAGACTAGCTAAAGCTTGGATGTTGCTGTTATTTGACTTAATTTACATGAAGTTTGGCATCCTGGTTGTGGTTGTTCTTTTAATGCAGTGCAACATGTGTTTGTGCATGTAAACGTCATATCCTGATTTATTAATCCTGGATTACTCCTTATCTTGGTATTGAGAAACTCCATCATGCCAAGTGGAGCTCACCATTCTGTTCCACGTATACATCTTATCCCGGTTAGGGTTAGGGATAGGTTAGGTTAAAGTGCCTGAATAGGTTAGTTTTTGGTGGTAAGAGCGTAACTTTTGCAGGCGTTATGTATCATCAAAACTTATACGAAATACTTTTGTGAGAATATTGGCTTGTTGCAGAGTAATCGGCGAGCTCGCCATGTTGGTATGACTCCACTAGGTTGATTGATTGAAGCAAGTGATCTCTGTGGCGGCTCTGCTCATTAAAAGTTAACTCAATAACTATTTTTTGTCTTTTATTTAATTTCTGGACCCAATATTTCAACACTGGCTGTGAGACCTAATATAAGTCAGTGCTGCGAGAGTAAACATCTGGTTGGAGCCAGTGATTGAATTTGTTGCCCAGTGATTGAGCAACAAACCCCCATTTGAAACCGAAACTCAAGCGTTAATGACTTCTTAAGGATGAAAGTATCTGGAACTCCCAACTAGTCAGTCAGAACTGATGAAGCCTCTTGGATGAGTGGTGGAACGTCTTCAAGGAACTCAAGCAAGTCCACTTGCTACGATTAATCTACCAGAATAACCATGACCTGGATGACTGAGAATCTTCACAGACAAGATGGATGAAGCAAATTTGCAATGCAGTGAATTAAACCATGCAATATTTACCACAACCAGCAGTATGAGAACTCTCATTGACAACAGAACCAATGCTTGTGCTGTTGTTTCCTTTGATTTCTTGAACGGTTTAACTGTGTTATACAGCTGGTAAGAGGATATCCAACTCATATGGAAATTTTCAGATTTTCTCAGATCACTGAACTCCATCTTGACAATCATATCCAACTGGTTGCAGCTGCATATCTTCCTCCACCTCTCCCAGGTCCATGAATGTGTGTCCTATGTGTTGACAGTGACAGCCTAACACAGTTCAAAGTGGAGGACATGTTTGAAATTTCTCGACCCTCTCACCTCCCGTTGTTGGTAATGAAGCAAATCCGCAACGCAGTGTTGGCATTTAGTAGCGCTAAGGCTGCTATAAGCCAAAGTGGCCTCATAATAGTCTGCACATATGCCTTGATATCTCTTTCTAGGGGACTTGACATTTTAAGCAGCAAAAACACACATTTCTTGCACATTGTCTTTGCTGCAGTTGGAGGTGCTGCTAATGCACTTTACATTTTATCCACCAACAATGCACCTTATGATGATGGAGAAGCTTTCTGAGTGTCCAACACTGAAAATGTTCAAGTTTGAACGAATGCAACATTACAGCCTTTTCTGTTTTGTCAAGTAGACATCTGTGCCTATCATACAGGAACAGCACAGGTCTAACTATGATATAAGTGATAGTTCTCTTCCATTGGATCCCAGTCTCCATTTAAGTTGCATAATTACACCTGCAGATTCACTACTATGGCCTGTCAACATGCATGAACCAGTTTTGTTTTGCTGTTGACTGAGATCACAACGCTCCATATACACCAAAATCCTATTCATATTTTGCAAGTAATTAAAAGACCCAGAGCTGAAGACAACAGAGTTGCCTGTTGGAAGCATCTATAAGTAGCTTTAAAGCAGTTTTACAAAATTAAAGTTTTCTGCTTCTTTCATTTGAGCGGCACAAATGCAAGTGTCCTAAATATTGAACCCTTATAATGTTAATGTTTAATGAGCAGCACAGTGGAAAACAATGCTCACTCACAACTTCTAATTCTGCATACTGGGAGTATCTGACACCAACAACAACTCCACTACAGACCAGCCAACAAACTGCTGGCTGGCAGAATTGCTGCGAATGCTGGCAGTTGCATCGTAAGAAAACTCCAATATTAACACTAGAACAGTGATTTCAGTTCATTTTTATAGCAGCTATTAGTGTTTGTGTTTGGTTTCACTTGGTAACAAAGCTGCTACAAACACACAACACAGCAAAAATGGCCAAATGTATTCATCTGGTGTGAGTAGTTCTACATAAGACTGTTTGGTGTTTGCCTTGTTGTGGCCATTGTGGCAAAATTGCATGAATTCTGTCTAAGTCAAAGCAAACTAACCTCAAAAATGGAGGAAAAGATGCTAGTTCAGAGATGTTTGGTTTAACGGACAGAAATTGCCACAACCTCAAGAGCTTGGGGGATGTTCTCAGTTTTTCACTGTGTAAATGGTGTCCCAATATCAATAAGACGTGTTTTATCGCACAGTCTTAAACATATCAGAATCAGAAACCGTTGTATTGCCAAGTAGGTTTACATATATGACAAATCTGATTTGGTGGTTTGTGCATAAACAATGACGTATCAATTTAAAAAGTGGTGGACAGTAAGTGTTACAAGACAAATAAGAAAGCTGGTGGACTCAAGGGACTACAGGTCATAAAAAGTCATAGAAGGTTTTACAGTATGTAATGTAAACCACTTGAAATGTGCAAACGGACAACAGTAATCCTATTTAAAAGCTGTGTGTTAATGTAAAGCATAGAGTCAATATCAGTTGGAGTTAGGAAATACTTGTTTTCAAGAGTCGGACTACCCCAAAGTACGGCTAACGTATTAGCATGTGGCGCCATCTGCCAATAGTCCACCAATGTGTCTTGGGGAGTTTTAGCGTCCCTTTAAATTGATCATCCTTCTCCTTAAAAGCTGGTGTATTCCTTTAAGAATGTCGGCGCGAGGCCAATACATCTTTATGTCGAAGGCATTATGCTGACTGCCAGCCAAGTCACAGCTGCAACGTTCAAGATAACACATGTCAGGAGGAGACTACAATATAGTTCCCACATGGTTTTCATGCAAGTCTATAATATGGTGCTGTCCATATATCCTCATTCAGAGATCTCTTTCAACGCGACGTGTTGAGTGTTGCTATTGGATACCAAGGCGGTCTGCAACAGGCTGTCGAGAAAGTTGAATCTTCTGATTGACGCATTTGGAGATTTTATACAATTTTCAGTCCATTTATGTGTTTCGATGCAACCCAGTCTCGACAAAATGACGCTCCTGTACGACTGATCTGCATTCTTGATTACGTTTTGAATGAAGATGATATCTAGATGTCAAGTTACGACAAGTTACAAGCTACAAAGTCCATGTTGGTTGGTTTCAGGTGGTAGATATTCAACATGGGACCTTCAGACTGAGGTTCACGTCTGGTGTGGTGGACACAAACTTAACATGAGACATGTTTCGTTTCCGGTTAAGTCACTGTAACCCGAAGGGCTTTCCAAATGAAATACAAAATTAGCATTGCTAATTTAAATGCTAGACTTTGCAATGACTTGCTCAGGTTTCGTAAAACATCATAGTTTTGTTTAAAATACGCCTCTTTCGCTATATGTTTAAAGCTTCTCCTCCATTTCCTGTGTTACCATGGTGACAAGTCCATCTAATATCTGACTGATGAAAACGAAAGATAATGAAAAACAAAGCCACGCTAATTAGAAACGTATCCAGTCACAAACAAACACAATCCTTCAAACAAACCCCCAAAACCTAATTTGATGCAGTTCAGTTGTAAAGGAGTCATATTTTTAGGAGACGCGGCTCCACGATGATTATTTAAGGCGACTCAGCACAAAGGAAACATCTGGACTTTGGCAATTTGATGACTTCTGAGGGTAAACAGAGTCCACTTTGGGTTTTTAAAGTCTTTTTCCATTATAGATGTGATAAAATTTGCAAATTTTGCACTTGTATTGAGTATAAGGGGGTGAGAAACAAAACAACAACAAAAAAAATACAGAGGATGGTAATTAAATCCTTTAACTAGTTTAATGGGCAGATTCCTTTCAGAGTTTCCTTCCAAGGGTTGGCTGTAAATCTCTCAGAGTTTCAGCGACGCTCGCTGCAGTTGGAGAGACGCTCTGTTGGCTTTCAAACTCATCTAAAAGACCAGAAAGATTTCTTTTGCCCCTTTGCTTATTGTTCCTGAAAGCTGGTCCCCTTTGCTCATTAGAAACAAAGCTGTGTGTCTAATAAATACTAAAGAGCGTATTTATGCTGAGCGTATGTTCTGCCTGCAGTGCTCATCGGTACCAAATATGACTGAAATGCACTTTGCCAAAGGAGCTGGTTATAGTAAATAAACGTTCCCAGCAGCCGGCTCTGTTTCATACGAGCTCGCAGTATATGGAGCGTAAATATTTGCAATTTCAGATGCTCTTTGAACACAATCATATGGAAATAGTTCTGCTAATAGTTGCGGAGAGAGAGAAAAAAAAACAAAACAAAAACACAAATCAATTAACAAATGACCTACAGTGACAGTGATCACATGCCACTACATGAACTCAGATTTCAAAGCAGGACGTCATCCTTTGAAGTTGCAACTACGGCTCTAAATAAACTCAGAAACTGTCACTTGTGCAGCCTCTCAGTTATTTAGGAGATAGTTCAGACGTCTTAACTGCTCAGTGCATGCAAACCAGAAGAAGACTTTTAATAATAAAACTGTTGTGTAGAGAAAACAGTCCTTAAAAACCAACAAACCTCAACTCAAACATCTGCATCTGGGAGCATTTAACAAGTTTCTCATTACCAAAACCACAAGAGACTCACCTGGAAATTCCTCCAGAAGAAGGAGAGCATAAACAGGTTTAGCACAAAAAAACACCAACTCCAAGATGGAAAGTTTTACAAGAAAACCTGGCGTAAAAAAAAAAGTATCCAGTTGATGTTCTGGTCCTGTTGGTGACTTGTAAAGAGGTCTTCTGGTGAACGAGGGGATGGAGCGCTCTGAATGTGTGGATTAGTTTGACCCTCCGTTGGTCCCTGAAGGCATCTGGATTTCAGATTAACTCCCTCTTCCTCGTCCCGTCCTGAAACTGTGCGGTCAGGAATGCTGCTTCTCCATCCCCTTCTACACCTACGCTCCTTCCTTCGCCTCCTCCATTCATCTCCTCTCTGCTCGAACTCTCAATCCTGCTGGAAACATTATCACTTTATTTCCTTTTTTTTTTTTTGCTGTTTTCTTTCCTCTGTGCCTACTCTCTCTCTCTCTCTCTCTCTCTGCCTCTTTCTCTTTTCCCTCTCCTGCCTGTTTTTCTCTTTACACGCTTTCACCCTTCCTCCTCTTTTCCTCCCTCCTGAGCTACATTACAGTGTGTGAATACAGATTAGCCAATTATTATAATCCATCCGCAGATATTGAGTCTGCGCCGGCGGCTACGCGCACACACGCTAACGCGCACTTTGCAAAACTTGGCAGCAGCTCGGTGTCATTCATTTGATCTGCCTGGATAAAATTTACAGTGAATCAAACAGGACGGGGCAGTATTAGCAGTTCAATTGCCCCCTTAAGCCCTGATACTGTACGTAAGACCTGCAGTGTTGAAAAGTGCGCCGCCGCTGTGTTGACTCACAGATACCAGGACTGAAGGCAGGTTTTGTGGGAATGTAAAGTCTGGGCTTTCTTTGACATAACGTGCATGTTGACTGCATTAGATTTGATCCTGTTGGTACCATTTGGAAGCACTTACTGACCTCCAAACTCCAAACAAGTCTTTATGAATAGGTCTTTTGTTACGGTGTTGCCTTTATTCACCTAGAACAGACAGAGAGGAGGACGTTAATGTGCGCTTTACAAGTGCGAGCTTAAGCTTGTAAAACATTAAACACAAAGCCTGTTGATTTTTCTTCTTCTTTTTGTTTCACCTCAGCAGCGGAAGACGAAGATGTTCATTCCTACATTTGTACAAACCTTCAGTTGTTGTTTCAAAAGGCTTCTTTGTCTTTGTCTGGTTGCTGTAATCTTAATCAAAATTAAACGCACCATTAATGTTGAAGAAGCCAAAGCACAATCAAGCATGTTATTTCAATTGATTCCATTAGTTGCATATTGTCTACACGTGTCTGATGCATGTTGTCGGCTTTAAAAGATTCCAGTTTGTCTTCATGTTGATAACACGCCATCATGATCACCACTGTAAGGTTAAATCCTGCATAAGTACACTTTGCATTTCCAATTTTTTTTCCTTCATATTACACAATTTTAGCCATTTAATCCATAATAATGTGCTCAAGGTTGATCCCAAAATACAGAGCAGTGACAGATTATTGGAGAAACCAACCTAAAATGAATAGTAAACTGTGAAGCCACCAGATGTTTCTATGATTCTTGTCATTGATTCTTCAAATCTCTGGATCTGCACTGGAGGGAGGAGCACTGTTTCAAAAGATATTCCTTCATTTTGTGTTTTGATGTTGGTGGAGGAGATCATACGTCTAACACGTCGCTTCAGAGAGTGTGTTCTGTGAAGGCCAAAGCATCTGATTCACATCGTTTCTCTTGTGTCCTATGGATGGTTGAAACCACTTTCATCAGGATAGAAATGTTTCATCACAGGATAAAGGCAGAGCTGAGCGCTGAAAACTTATTACAAACGTTGCTTCACTTGATATTTATTCATGATTTTTAAATGACCTATTTTTGAGAAAGACAATGACAAAAAAGGTTTATTTTGAATTTAATCAGTTTAGTCAGTGTTAGATGAAGGAGTGCTCTCACATGGACAGCATCAGATGAAGAAAAATAAGTACAAGATGAAGTGTGTCAGGAAAGTTTCAGGACTGGTGTCACAAAAGATATATTTCAAATCCAAACTACAAGTTTTCTCCTTCCAAGTAACTCCCCTGGAGTCACACTTCTCCAGCCTTCTCTGCCTTCACGCCACCATGCACTCCTGGAAGGATTCTTCCAGGATCCTCCTCAGCTCCATCGTCACAGCCATCTTGATGTTGTCCACATCTTCTAAACGGGTCTCCTTGATGATCCCCTTGAGGTTGGGGAAGAGGAAACAATCCCACAGAGCCAGGTGGGGTGAGTAGAGAGGTTGCTCCAGCACGGAGATGTTCTTCTCAGCCAGGAACTGTGGGATGCTCAGGGCATTGTGAGCAGGCGCATTGTCATGGTGAAGCAGCCACGACTGGTCCTGCCACAACTCTCGCCTCTTCTGGCGCACTGAACGAAGCAAACGGATCTCTTTGTAAATGTGCTGGTTGATCGTCTGAAGGGGAAAACTCGTAGTTTGGGTTTGAAATCTATCTTTTGCGACACCAGTCCTGGAACTTTTCTGACACACCTCGTGTGCACAGAGGGCGATCAGGGCAAAATCCTCCACTAGAGGAGCCTCAGGAGGCCTGTTCATGGTCCAGGTAGGGAGCACATGTTCAGTCTGTTCATGCAACCCAACGTTACATTTTTCTTATGTGCTTCCACTGAGGTTTGCATCTAATCAAACATTTAGGTGACAACTTTCTATCGATTGAGTTTTTTATCGCTATTAAATGAAGTTGCTATCGTCCTAGCCATGCCTACATAAAGTGATCATCCAGAACAGCTTTGCATTAACTTCCAGTGACCCTCTGCTCAAGAGAACAATCAGATTCCACATCCCCTCACCTTTCCCTCTAGTTTGCCAGCCATCTGTCAGTGACTCTTTGCCACGATTAGCTGCCATCCTGCATATTTTTCAGCAATTCAAATAGGTGTGGTTTATGTTTATATCCTCGGTGGATTAATAACCAAGGCAGTAGGGCTTCTTTAGGTTTACAAAGCTTTTAGATTAAGAAGGAGGACGTCATTGTCCTGATGTAGAGCCTTAAAAATATTACCAAAAATGCCACAAAATCACACAAAGCATGGATAAGATACATGCAGCTGCACAAGTTATTAGACTTTCAGATAAAATAACGAGTCTTTTATTGAGTTTGTTTAATGTCAGAATGGATAAAAAAAGAAACAGCAGTTCAATCTAGATATTCAGGATGTTATCTGCATGACCAAACAGATCTGACTTTGACAGACTTTACATGCCAGAGGTGGTGCATTACTAAAAGGTATATTTAAAGAAAAAGAAAAATCTGATGCATTATATAGAACTGCTTTTGAATTTCTAGGTTCCTCCAGCAGCTTCTTGAGGCTCTTGTAATTCCAAGAAAGTAACGGTGCATTTTTACTCAATGAGGTGTTTCATTAGACGTCTCCCAGATTAATACAGTTCATTCATTCATTCACTCTCTGCTAATCCTCCAGCGTCTCAAACAGGAGACATCTGTAATTTTACATCACTCAGCACTTTGCCTGCACTTTTCTTGCATCCATTGTTCGTGTACATGCGCGCAGACACGCAAACACACATTTCATTCGTCGGCTCATCATCCTGATGACGGTGTCGGGTGCCAGCTCTGCAAGCCAAGTCTCACTGGAATTCTTGTGCCACCTTCATTTTAAAAAACACAGGGATGCACACACACACACACACACACACACACACACACACACACACACACACACGAGTGGGTCATTGTGAGTGATGACAAACTTTGCATCCTGTTTTTACAGGATTAATCTCCTCCTCCTTGTGATATTTAGTGATGCGTGTGTGCATTTGTGCAAAAGTATTTTTAAACTCATCTTCATTCATTAAAAGTATTTAAACCAGCTCAGAGACACATGTCTAATTATGTCTTAATGCGATGTTTCTCAAACCTTCAACACCTCATTCTTGACAGCGTTATCCTCCTTAGTGCAGGTTTTTACTCTCTTTGTTTATTGGGACTCTCGGCTCAAAGTTCAGGGTACAGTTCTGTTATTCTGTCTTAACCTTTGTGTGATGCTCTTGTGATCTCCTCCTCTGCAGAGCTGTAATCTCACAGGCTCTGATGTTCTTTTTTCTAATGCACTCTTTCTTTGTGCCCCATCTGTCCACCTCCATATTTCTGTAATCCGCCGTCTCCTGCTCTTTGTTTCTTTACCCTACATTAGAGTCCTGTAGGCTGAGAAACAGATCTCAGAGCAGATCCCCTTTGAAAAGACGTCTCCAGTTTATTTGTACCGGCTTCAGTGGAGTCGGGGCTCCGTTGTAAATATTAGCAGTTGGATTAAACGCTTGTTGAATGTGGACTCAGTCGACGTCTTGATTCAGCTGGTGGGACCTAAACAAGTTTCGCTTATTAACTTTGCTGCATCACTCATGAAAGGCCGAACTATAGTAAATATACACATAGGAATGGCATTGCGTGCTACCACTTATACATTTAATCTGGTTATATAATGGAATAAGTTGTGGGACGTTGAAAATTTCAGTAGGATGGAGTCATCAGCTAAAATATTAGCAGGTAAGGTCTACAGGTTTATAGTGCTGTTAATGAGTTTAAATATTAGAAAAAGCACTTGAT